GCTTTGTTTGTCACACGCGAGGCAGTCGGAGTCTTAAGGGGCACTGAAGTCATTCATCTCGATTGATATAAGGATAAATAGTGCTTCCATTAACGCTATACATATCTCCGTCGCTTATGATCTAATAACTGACTATATCATGATTCAGAGTCAAAGCAGCCGAAAGTTGAAAAAAGAAACCTAACACTTTCAATGCGTAACATCCTGCATTTTTATTGTTCAGTTTTCACCAAAATTTAATTATCTTTGACGTTATAATAATAATTGCCTGTATGAAACTTAAAGAATTCTGAGGAGATGTTAACTGGAAATGAAATGAGATTGAAATGTTAATTTAGAGTGGTAAACGGATTTGAACACTGTAGTTCTTTGCCGGCTTTTAGCTAGAAAGAGTTACTTTTAGAATTTTCATCTTCTGTTAAAGAAGGAGAAAAAGTGAGTGATAGCTGTGTTGTATACGTAAACGATGTCCGAGATTATCATTTTAGTTTTAATGACGGTTTTGAAGGTCGGTACTTTTGACATTGCCTCTACACAACAAATCTTAAAAATATAATTTAAATCCGACCAATCGGGCAGCGGTTTTTGCTTAACTAAGTAAATTTTTTTTTCTGTATGTTTTATGTTGAATTAATTTGAGTTATTCTCTATATAGTAGTTAAGCAATAGAAAACGTTTTCCCTGTTTGCATAGCCTGATATAAACACGAGAGGGGTTGGGAGAATTCGAGACGGTTATGCAAACCCGAGTGAAGTCGAGGGTTTGCATAACCGTCGAGAATTCTCCCAACGCCTCGAGTGTTTATATCAGGCTATGCAAACACAGGAAAAAAGTTTTCTATTGCTTTTACAAAATAACTTTCCCGAGAAAAAAACGCAAAACTCTTTGTATGGCTCTGATTAAAAGAGAAATTCTTACCAGTCGCAAAATCCTGTCCACGAAGTCTTGCACGCGTAATCAGTTCTTGTTTTGCAAAAAGATGCTTTGCAAAATACGGATTTTTCCCGCTTAAAACGGTCAGCTTAAGCGAAGAAAAATGTACACACCTTCTTTGTAACGATTTTCCAAGTTTCAGCCGACGAAGGAATGGGTAAATAAAGTAAACTTTTTGAGTTTTGAACTCGAAAACTTTTTCAAATTTGTGCTTGCGTGATTTGCGCGCGAAAAACCAAACAACTTGACGCCACAACCATGTTTACATACTCTCATGCAAACACTGCTCTCGGCCAATCAGAGCGCGCGTACTATCTTAGTTATTTTATAA